ACCCCCGCCCCGCCCTTCCCCGCGCATCTCCCCTCCTCCTGTCCTCCCTGGCCCTCTCTTGCTCTCGGTGATGTCCTAGCCTCACCCCAGCCCCCTCCCTCTCCTAACTCCCCTGTCACTTCTCTCCTCTCGGCCCCTAGAAGTGAGAGTGCTGAGACACAGGAAGAGTGAGTAGCTGCGAGCACGGCTCCTGGCTGAGGCGTGGGGCGGGGCACAGGGCACGCTCAGGAAAAGCCAGGCTGACGGGCTGGGGTCTTGAGGAAAGGACGGGGCCAGGGGCCGGCAGGCGAGGGGTCCTGGACGTGACAGGCTCTACCCGCATTCTGTGCCCGGCAGACGGTTTTGCCTAAAGAAATGAGCCCGCAGCCAGCGCCCCCCGGCACTTTTCCCTTTCTCCCCTCCCACTACCGCGCTCTGGGATCCCCAGCCCAGGGAACCCAGAAGCTGTTGGCCCCCTTTTTCCCCCTCACCCAGCCCTGACCCCTTCCTCAGTCTCTAAAGACAACCCTCCCCCAACTCCATTCACCTCCGCCGGCCTCGTCGGAAAATGCAAACTCCGCGCCGAGCATTTGCATGTCGTCCGCCTGGCCCCTCGTCCTGAGTGCCCCGACCCTATATCCTTAGTAAGGTCTCGGCTTTCCCGGGTCCGCCAGAGCTGCGCTGCGCTTTGCCATAAGTGTGCTCCGTCTGGGCTTGCAACCAGTGCGTCTGCGCGTGTGTCTGTCTGTGGGTGTGGCGGGGGGAAGGGGGCCGGCTGGCTTCTGGCATCCAGGGTCCCGAGTCTATAGCCATGGAAGCCCCAGGTGACTCAGTCCAAGGGTCACTGGGGTTTGCTGGTGCAGAGAGATGGCCAGAGGGAGGCTCCACCCTGGCGGGGCCGGGTCGGGGAAGACAGGACAAAGGTCGGGTGGCTGGCCCCAGGTAGTGTTCTGGAGCTCGGCAGTCAGTGTGCCGGGCGGAGATATTCGCTAGAGGTCCCAGGGCCGGCCCAGGAGCCATCATGAACTCCCAGGGGCCTCCAGGCGGGGGCTCCACACCCCGTGAGTAGGGCCGGGAGGATGGAGGGGCCGCGTGGGCTGCCAGCTGAGAACCCGCCTCTGGGGTCCCAGAGAGCTGCCTGCGGGACCCGGGACCTGGAGAGCTGCCCTCTGAGCCCAAGGGAAGGCCCCGGCCTGCGCTGACTTGGGGAAGGGGGCAGCAGAGGGCAGGTAGGGGGCGGCGGGGACGCGGGCCTCACACCAGGCCAGCGTCTCCTCTCCTGCCTCCGCGCAGGCACCAAGTCTTTCAACATGATGTCCCCGACGGGCGACAACTCAGAGCTACTGGCTGAGATCAAGGCGGGCAAGAGTCTGAAGCCGACGCCGCAGAGCAAGGGGCTGACCACGGTGTTCTCGGGCAGTGGGCAGCCGGCCTCCCAGGTAGGCGATGCGACAGACGCCCCAGCCCCTCGACCCCGCCCACCCGGCACTCAGCCCCGCCGCTTCTCCCCGCAGCCCGACTCGCCGCTGCCGCCGGCCTCGCCGGCACCGTCACGGGCCCGGAGCCCCACCCCGCCGGCCACGGGGTCCCAGCCACTGCTCAACGGCAGCGTGGCGCCGGCGCCGCCTGCCACCCCTGCGCCGGGCGTGCAGCTCGACGTGGAGGCGCTCATCCCCACGCACGACGAGCAGGGCCGGCCCATCCCCGAGTGGAAGCGCCAGGTCATGGTGCGCAAGCTGCAGCTGAAGATGCAGGAGGAGGAGGAGCAGAGGCGGAAGGTGGGCGGGGTTGGGCTTCCAGAGGGCCCTGGGGTCCGCACCTGCGTCACAGCCCGTGCCCCGCATCATCCCCCAATCTGCCCGGGACCTTTCAGCCTCAGACGGCTCCCATTGCCTTTGGGAAAAAGCACGATTGGACCACCACCCCTCTCCTGGGACGGTTCCCAGTCTCCACCGCCAGCACCACCCCACAACAGCCTGTCCTTTAATGCGATGGCAGTGTTTAGCAAAGTCTAGGATGCCCTCACGTAGCCCGTGATCTCATTAAAATGCTTTTTCTGATTCAGGTGCTCTGGGTGGGGATGGGATTCTGCGCTTCTGACGAGCTCCGGGGTGAGGTTGACTCATCCAAGGGACCACATGAGTAACCAAGAGGCTTTTGGTCGTGGTCAGACTGGCCTGGGCTCTTT